AGCATTTTTGAAGTAAGTGCTAATCATACTGGTCCGTCCCGTTTGAAGTTAAACCGATAGGGCTAATAAAAGAATTTTCAGAGCAGTTTAAGTGGCCGTCTTTCAGCAATTGTTCAGCGCATGGTTTCATTTTCGGAATCACGTGTATAAACATTCAATTTACCCTAACTTCTATCGGTCTTAGTGGCTCTAAACAACGTGTGCTTACTCTAAAATTGTTTGATATACCCATCTTGAGGTAAAAATTTGAAGTCTCTTGGGAATGATTTTTCTTAACTCTTTTTGTGGTTTTTCGATCGTTGGGCAGTGTAGCTCGTCAGATTCGAATTGTCTCGGGTACTGTTTGGCAGTTTTGTCGACTTCGATCTGGCAACTTTCACTGCGCTGTTTTGCTATTGGAGTAAGAAGTTGTGACACTTCGATTCTCAAGTTTGTAAAATATCGTTTACCAAAAGTTTTCTCTCTGTTCTCTCAGTTAAGAATAATTTATGATTATTTGCTTTATAACTGTTTGATCTTAACTTGAGGGCAACTCTTCCGATTCCATTAAAGGTGCTTCCAAAAATTTGATACGCCCTTCTAGTAGTTTGATTTACCGGCTCTGTTTTTGAAAATTGGCCTCGGATTATTAGATCATGTAATAGATCCTTTTTCATGAGAGAGACCGGACTTGCTGAGTCGATTTGGATTTTGATCTAAAAAGGAATATTGTAGCCCAAGGTCGCTTCTAAATTTTTAGTAATTTCTTGACTTTCGTGCCAGAATAGAGTCCTTAAAAGGTTTTCGACTTTGTCTCGTGTTTTATTAGTTATTCGGGTTTTTCATCAATTGCTAGAATTCTAAAGTCTCTTAAATAACGACGAATTGGGATTATGTAGGGAATATTGTTGTTGGTTCTTAGTATCGTTATCTGGGCTTGTGATCTCCTTCCACTCCGATTTTTTGCGAATTGTCTCTTGCGTCAGCAATTATTACACGATCTTTTTTTCTGACAGGACATACTATGAGATGGACTTTATTCATTAATTGACCGCAGTTCTGGCATTTCAGCTTCTCGAAGATATTTACAGTTTCTTCGTTTCTTTAAGTTTTCGGTTTTGAAAGTTTGCAGGATTTTTCACGTATAGTCAATGAATTCGGGTTCCTTTTTCATGTACAATTTTATACGTTATGTAATGGTACGCTGTGAGTTCGGATTCCTTTTTCATGTATCATTACATACACTATGTAATGTAATTTTGGTTTCGGTTTGCAGCAGGAGTTTTCAGGGGCTAAATGTTAACATATTTTCTGTTGTATCTCTTTATTTCTCATGTCAGTGATAAAATTCTCGCTTGCCAATTCTGTTTCTAGTTCTCCGAGACTGCAATTTGCCAATTCCGTAAGAGTTTTGCAGAATTTTTCTAAGCTTTTGTTGTCGTTCTGACGTCCGCTAAAACATTAAATCTGTTGATACGGGATGTTGTCCCTGTGGCGAAAATTGTTGATATCGAGGATTTTTCTTCCCGGATTTTTGCGGGCAACACATTTCCATCCCTCTTTGCTTAGTATTAGGAATAGCTGGGATTTCAATTTCTTACCGACATCTGCGATTTGGAGTTCGTCAGTTTTAGCAATAACCGCTTGTCTGCGTCTCTTCATTTCCTCAGTATAGTTGTTCAGCAGTGCTCTGTATCTCGCTTCTATTCTGTTGCTGCGTAGCATCTTCGGTTGTTCGGGAATCGGAGGTTGTATTTGTTCACGTTCTGGTGTGTTGATGACTTCATCTATATCTTCTTTTGATATAATTTTACGATGGAATTAATTTGTTTGCCCATTTTTCACAGTCATGTGGTTACTCGAGTGGTTCCAGAAGAATTGAGGTCCTCGTAGGTTCGAATCGTTTGACTGCGCTTTTTAAAGAGTTCCTGCATAAGCTCCTGATTAGACAACTAAGAAAAGTGTTATGATAGAGATGTGTCTAAAAGATAACTAAGGAAGCCAATCTCTTTGTTAGAATTAATATTTAAACACAGTTGAAAGATAAAAACAGCTAAAACATTAGTCGAATTATTGAACTGATTGTTAAGATCAGGTTAACCTAGCAGCAGAATAACAATGATGTCCAAACGCTATATCGCTTTTGGCAGGTACTAATACTAATTTAGATTAGCAGATTAAATTATCATCGATAAAGGTTTAGTGGCAGAACTGCCACACAGTAGTTTCAGATTAGTACTACTTCACCGCTATGTTTTTTTAAAATCCGTTTTTTGTCTAAATCCTTCAAGAGCTTTAAAAACAAAACCGCATACTTGATTCAGTTGACGCAAAATTATATAATTTTTTAAAATTGAAATAGTTTTTTCTAACCTAGAATCATTTCTTTTGATCCTCTTATTTGTTGAGTGCGCATTTAATTTGTGATGTGATTTAAGCTTTGAAAAACAGGCACAGGTGCTCTGTTTGTTTTGGATAAATAAAAATCACTTGTTTTTACTGAAAGTTAATGAAAAATTGAATCATGCTGTATTCGAATCCTGAATACTGTTTTTTTCTTATCATCTGTATCTCTGAATCAGCCGTATTTCTATATAATAATTTTGACCATAGAAATGACGTTCGGTATTTTCTTCCTTATGGAGAAAAATGGTTTCAATTCAGAAAAATTATAGTTAAACCGTTTTGATTCATTATCTTATTGTTTTGTTGCTCTGTAATGTTGGCTACACCTAGTGACTAATTTACTATCTTTTTTTGATTTTTAAGTCTGTCCAGCTCAAATTGTTCGTTTTTTGGAATCTGGGAGAATTAATTAGGTATTTTGAGCAAGTTTAAAAATTGTTTTAAGTTTCGTTTGACTAATTTTACACACCTTCATCAGTATTTTGCGCTGTGCATAGGTTTTTTGCCTTGACCTTTTTGTTGTAGCTTTTATTGATCGTAAAGCTGCTCTAATTCGAATTCACAAAATCAAATTCACTGAAATTTTTTGCAAAGTTTTTTCTTTCTTATAATTAATTGACTTGCCTTATCATCTAGATTGCAGAACTCTCTGCATTGGATGAAGTTTCTGCACGTTAGAGACTTTCATGTATTATTACAATTGCCAACGCGGAACATGAAATCCAGAACTAGAGTTTTTTCCGTAAACAACTTCTCTTACATCTGAAAATGATGTTAGTTTTTAGCGAATCTTAGCAGCGTCGGGATCGCTTCCACTTGGCCTTGATGAAACGGTTGTCTCTGTATTGTGTGCAGTATTTTTGTGCAAAAAATAGATTGATTAAAGAATTGATTTAGTTCGGCTGGCAGAAGCTCAAATTTTTAAAACCGAAAATTTACATTTGTTATTTTAAACATTTTTATTGCATTTTTTTTTCTAATTTTCGGCGCAATGAGCGGCTTAGAGCGACTGTTTTTGGCTCAATGAACATATTGTCGGCTTAGTGGCCGCTCTTTAAAAGTTAAAGACTTATTTAATGCTGTTTGTTGTGTTTCTTGATGACTAATTGTAGGATTTTTTTCCGACTTTTTTTTCGATTTTATTTACGTCTCTTTTTTATTTGCTAGGGGGCAATGCTGTGCCTCGTTGTTTGTATCTTGTGCTTGTATGTTGACGGTACATGTAAGATCTTGCAATGTGAAATTGTCTTGGCGAGGCCGGAACTTTTCGGTTAATGCTCAGGTTATTGAGTGGCGGCTTATATACCTAATATTTTATTCGTATCATTGGTTGTGACAATATGCTTTGAATGCTCAAAATCAAAAGCTCCGACACTTTTTGAGTTTTAAGCTTGTATTTTTTACCCCTTAACATTTTTGTTGCGTTTTTTAGTATCAATTTTGAGCAGCGGAAACTTATTTATGTTTTTGTCTTAATGCTCCAAAAGTTTGTTAGTTCAGAAAAAAATGAAATTGGTGTCAGTTTTTTTGGCTGCATGGGTTCTGTTTGGTTTTTTTCTTCGTTTGTTTTGATTTTCTTCCTAATTTGTTTAGTCTCTAGCAAGTTAGTGTCATAATTTGGGTATTCGAGATGTTTTATTGGTTCATTGAATGTGATGGCACATGAAATTTTTTGAAATATCGCGAAAATTTTTTCAGAAAAAATCCGATTTTCTCGAAAAACATTGTTTTTCAGTTTTGACCTGACAACTTTTTTGTGTAGAGGCATTTGGCGAGTTTAAATTTTGTGTCTTTGCACTAAACAAGCGCTATCAAATCGGAGCATAGGCTTGAACCACGGAATCTTTTGGTATCTTTTTCTATAAAAAGTTCAAATTAAATGACTATTTTGCCCTTCAGCCAAGATAACTTCATGCAAGGTAACTCGGACTCAACCAACAGGCCTTTGTATTCCCATGCAAGGTAACTCCCATGCGTAGGAAGACCAAGGGCTGCTGCCCGAGTCCGAGTGGAATTTGTATTGTTTTGGGTATTGCTGTGAGTTTCTCCTCTGAAAATTTTTTAATTGCTATCCTGCATCTGTTTATTTTTGTCGGCTTAATTTCCGGAGCACGCAGTTCTCTTCAAATTGATTTTTACTATTAAAGAATTCCACATTATGTATTTGCAATGGCGCAGATTTATGCATTCCGAGATTATGGGGTTTTAGGGCTTCAAGTTCCAAGCTTAGGGCTTCAATATGATTCATCGCTCAATGTGTTGTGGCTCATGCAATTGCATATAGTTATTCAATTGATAGAGAATCATCGTCTGTTAAATATTGACTTGATTCAGTTGCCCGATTCACGTGTTTTTGAGACTATCAATGCAGTTTACACTTGATAGCAGTGTATTGCAACCGGGACTGGATAGAATTGTTCCCGTAATTAACTTAATCCAAAGATTTCAGAACTCGATGTCAAAATTTTCAACGTTTTTAATTCATTTTTTATGTATCGCTAGTGATGCGAAGCTCAGCTTCTCTCCGCCTGTGTGTTCAATCGAATTCGAAAATGTTTTGGCTCTGTTTTTTGTATAAGAAGGAAATCAGTGGTTGATTATTCTTCCTGTTTAAGGACAGCAGTGAAGATTCATTGGGAATTTGTCCTGTGTGCTCGTTTTCCTTCTGTACTAAATGTGACGATATTTGGCACCCCGGAGAGCTGTGCAAGGAGCTTAGAACGGAAGAAAATAGGAGAATGCTCAAACTACAGCGTCAACAAGCAGAGGGTTCGTTCATGCAGTTAAATAAAAATGACTTTACAGACAAAACCATGAACATAAATGAAAACATAATGAGAGCAAAACCATCTTTACCTTTGTTATAAGCAAGGGTATTCCAATCGGGTACTAGACTTTTTTTCCGTAAATAACTTTGTTCACAGGACTCATCGACTCCTGGTGGTACCTTGGCTCATAACAAATTCAAATTATGTACTGTCTTCTGCCCACTTAGCCTGGAGGTAATGAATACGCCTGGCTAGGAAGAGGTCATGGGTTGAAATCTGAACAGAACCTGTTTTTTTTTCAAACGGTCAAAATTCCTGTTCAGAAAAATTTTGGCCTTTTATTTGTCTGCTTACGTTTTATCGGCTTAGTTGCCAGATCTATGAATCGTTTGTTTTTGGTTCAAACTGTTAAAACTGGATATAATGCAAACATGTATATTTAAGACACAACATCATCTGAAATAGTCATCACTGATGTTACTGCAATTAACAAAACTTAGTTACACATTCTAACACTGAACGGAAATTATTAATTTAAGAAATGTATGAATGAGGTGCGTAATTAACTCACCTCAAGTGTTACATTTTGAAGTTTAGTTAAGAAATGTATAAATGAGGTGCGTAATTAACTCACCTCAAGTGTTACATTACTGGAAAGCGCAGGGACTGACCAGTAAATGAAAACATTATGCAGAGCTCTAACACATTGTGATTAGCTGTTAACATAGGATGAAAGCACACACAAATGAATACATTATACACATGACGAAAACCACAACAAGTACCACACACACTACACACTGCGCGAAGCAGTTTTCAACAAATTTATGAGGTTTTGCTCCATTCCCGACTTCTTCGTCAGACAATCGGCATATTGGCGCGTCGTTGGCACCCAATTGACGCGGGAGACTTCACCTGACTGCAGAAGCTCTTGGATAGAACTGATTTCCACGCGCAAGCGTTTTTCTAGGACAGTTTTTGATGAGTACAACGACTCAAAAAGCTGTTTGCTGTCAACATAACCGTTAATTCTTAGTTTCAAACCTGTGATGAACTCGAGTATTTGTGCTAAAAAAATAGTTGCATCGAGTCCATCTTGCAGGGCCAAAGTCTCTGCTGCTAAGGTGCTTCTGGCAATTCGCTTGATCTTTCTAGACGCCCAAGCAAGAGGGTGGCATTTTCCCGTCTCGGGATTTGTCAGTATGGTCACAAAACCTCCTTGAGATCCACCGTCACCCAAATTTTGAAATGAGGCGTCCGTGAACACTTCAAGAACGAGGTTTTCAGGCTCTCCAAGCATGGGAAACGCTAGAGTCATATCTTTGGAATACTTCAAACGCCTGAGACACTTGTTTGCGACTCTGAACCTCCCTGTATCTACGTTTCTGATGTCGCATGCTAGTGAGCTGGCGTAAAAACTCAAATCTGGTCTCGTTTGACTAGCAGTCCATTGCAATTGACCTAGGGCGCCCCTGAAATCGGAAACTTCGTCTTTAGTTAGAGGTCTATTGTGCTTTGGATTACTCTCGTGGGTTATCTCGATTTCCTCGATGAAAGTACGCTGATCTAAGGTGAGACAATCCTTCACGGGGTCTTTCTGTATGTTAATACCTGTGAACTTCAACGGGCAAGTGGAGTGTTTTCCGACTGTGAAAACGCTGTCCAACTTCGGCATCACTTCTTCCATAAAACTCCGCGTTCCGGCAAAAAGAAAATCATCGACATGAAATATGACTAGACCGCTCAGTACTTTTGCATCTTGATATATGAAGAGCGCATGCTCAAACGGACATCTGACAAAGCCAAGATCACACATTTCAGAGCTCACCCGAAGAAACCACTTCCTCGAAGCGTCTTGTAATCCGTATACGGGTTTCAAAAGTTTCCAGAGCACATTTCTACTGGATTTCACTTCTTTGGGAGGTCTGATAAACAAGGGTCTCTCCAGGCTTCCGCCTTGTAGAAACGCCGTTTTTACATCAATTGAATGGGAAATCCAGTTATGCAGGCTAGCAACTGAGATGAAGACTTTTACCAGTTCTCTGGCAACCACCGGCGATTGCGTCTCATATTTTGGCAGTTTTTCCTCTTCAAATCCTCTCACTAGTAATCTAGCTTTTGGATTGAAGGAACCGTCATCGTTCTGACGCATCGATAAAACCCATCTTGTGGACATCAAGGGTTGCCCCGCGTTCTGGACTTCCATGTACACACCCCAATTCTTCCACGACTCCAACTCTTTCAATTTCGCAGTTTCGAATGTTTCTTCGCTGTTAGAGGAATCGGAGACAAAAACTTCATTCGCGACAGTCTTTTCGGTTGTTCCATTGACTTCACCGACACATTCCCAAGATGACACATCAGTGGAAAAGTCAATATTTCCTAAAGAACCCGCGAGATGAAGGGGTTTCTCGTACTGTGTTCCAGCAGTTCTTGTATCTGCCCTTAGCTTTTCCTGCAGGTCCCAAAATCCTCACTTGATACTTCTCTCCGGCAAACTCCGAACTTTACTCGGTGAACTCGACTGTTTGATGTCGTTTTTCTGTTAGGTTCTCGAATCCACTCTTAAAATCAGTTACGGAATCGCCATTTGTGGTCTCAGTTTGACCAGAAACCTCACCTAAGTCAGCAGACTCACAGAACTCTGGTTGTTCCGCCTGGAATTCAGCAGGTTCGTCAGCATCACGTAATTTGTTTTCCTCGATAGTCTGACGGTCACCAGACTCTTCAATTTCAGTTTCTTTGGAGTTTTTTCCGTATTCTCCTGTCTCTCATCTTGAGAGAACAAAATCGCTTCCTTCTATGGCCTGTACGTCTGTGGAATGCACTCTGAGAACTTGACCTCCTTGTCTCAGAAACACGATACTGCTGTCTACGCCGATGACACTCGCAGGACCATGTCACTTTTTGTCAACAGACCGCCTAAAAAACACTTTCTCCGTAAGAAACCTGGCGTTCTTGTTTTCTGACGTTGTGTCTTAATGCTCTTCTAATTTTCTCGCAAGACTCGGACTTCAGGTACTCTATTCTTGTTTTGTGGAGCAAAACAATATGGTCTGCAACAGTTTGTGATAATGCATAGCCTTCTAGAGCTGGCAGCTTGTCGATATTCACGGGGATCAGAGGGCTTCTCCCCATCACAATTTGGCTCGTGGTGTTATAAAGGCTGTTCTTAGCGAAGCAACTGTACGATAGACAGGTCTCAATGTCAAGGTTTGGGTGATCAATCCTGACTTTTTCAAGGATATGCGATAGTGTATCATTGTGGCGTTCACAGATCTCGTTGCTAAAAGGCGAATACGCCGCGGTATTTTTTACAACTAGATTGAAATTTTCACACAGACTTCGCATTATCTCATTGCTGAATTCTCCTCCGTTATCAGTCAAAATTGCATGTTCTGGTGAACCAAATAAGCAAATCCAGTGCTTCAAAAACATATTAGCAATAACTTCAGCTTTTTTTGATCGGACAGGAACAGCAACACTGAATTTCGCAAATGTGCAGATGATATGAAGATACCAGAGCCCTTTTTCGATTTCATGAAGGTCCATAGCCACACACTCATTGAACCTAGTACTTTTGGGTAAACCCACAACTGGTTTCGGTGGTCTTTTAGCTGTCGTTCTGCATATCTCACAGTCTGAAACAACCTTTTCGATTTCATTTCTGGGAACCTCGTGACCCGCATTTCTGAATAGTCGCTCCAAAGCATTTGCTGAACAGTGTGCAAACTGTAGATGCAATTTCTTGACGTCAATTTTGTCGGTTTCACCTCTTGTTGTTACCAAAACACTGTTCACGCTACCTGGCTGCAACAAAGGTAACAAATAGTGTCCGGAAACAGTGGTTTCCAGCTTGATACGTTTACCAAACACTGTCAACGTATCACTTGCTAGATTCAACAGAAAGTCAGCTTTCTTCATGGCTTTTTACTCAGAAGAAGAGGAAGACTCCCTTCAATCACATCACAGATAATTGTACAGTTTCTTCCAGCAATGACAACAGGAATTGTTACTTCCATCACAGCTGGTTGCTTTTTCATGTTCCCGAACATTATTTGGGTCTGGCTATCTCGTGATTGGACCTGTTTCCTCTGTTCTTCAGTCAAAGAACTGAGAAAAACATGAAGCCAAGAAACACTACAAACGCTGTTGTTACAGGCGGTATCAATAATTGCTTGGTTTTTCGCAGTCAGCGAGAAGACTGTTACCAGTAGCTAAAGCAATTGTGACATATGATTCACTCTGTGGCTCGTTTTCAACTGAAGAACACTGAAAAGCGTGTTCATCTTTTCTGTCATCATTTTTCTCGTTGTCGGGGCAATCTTTGACCCAGTGAAAAATTGAGCCACAGTGGGCGCATCTAGACGTTTTTCCGTACTTATTCTTCGGATTTACACGTTTTGAAACGCCGGATGCTGTTTTTTCGTTCTGATAGCTCGGTTTCGGATTTTTATGTCTACTTTTTGTCACAAAGGCTTCACTTTTGATAATCAAATCGTCATTGTTTCTCGCGTTCTCTGTGATTGCGCTAAAAATCCGTCTCATCGAAACTTTTACTTCTTCAAATTTCTGCGTTTTAACGGATGTCAATATCATCTGTTTCTCTTTCGTATCAAGGCCACTGCCTGCCAGAAGTTTACAGCCAAGAATCTCTTCTGGTAACGCCATTTTAAGGCGAGTGAGGTTTTTATACTTGCGCTCGAACTCCAGAATAAAGTCCAACACAGACAAACTTCCTCTTTGGAAACTCTCGAACTCCATATACGTGGCAAACGAGCTGTCAACAGTTTCCTGACGAAAACTGTTATCCAGAACTTTGAAAAGTTCATCAATACCATTGTCAGAGTTCAGAACTTCAATGTCAATTTCTGTTGCGACTTCTCGTTACTTGTCAGTTAACGATAGTGTTACAGCTAACGCTTGCTTCTTCTTTGGGAGCTCTGTTACTCTCTGCCAAAACTCGATTTCACGCCTCCATGAGTCATAGGACGTGTCTGGCCCAAGAAGAGGTGGTTTGTACGTCGCTGTCATGCTGCTACCATTGTTAAAACTGGATATAATGCAAACATGTATATTTAAGACACAACATCATCTGAAATAGTCATCACTGATGTTACTGCAATTAACAAAAACTTAGTTACACATTCTAACGCAAACAAATTTCACTGTAGTTTCTATAAGTGTCTTAGCACTTTATACATCCGGCCGAACCGAGTTTTGCTTTTTATATTGGTTTCAATTTTACCAACTCGATTTGTTAAAATTTAGTTTTTTCTTTCGTTTTTTTATGTCTTCTTTTTTTTTTACTTAATCGGTTTCAGCTTATTGTTATAATCTTCTTGTTGGTCCTTATTGCATCTTTTGGTGAATAAGAAAAAAGTTTGGTGTGCGTTTTGGTTCTAAGGGGAAAGGGGACTCAAATTTTGTTTTATTAAGAAACTTTTTTGGAAGTTTTTCTTCGTGAAGGGCTTCTGAGGTTTTTTTTGTTTTGTTACCGCTTGTTAAGTTTTGTTCGAAGCAATTTTGCATTCTATTGTCTTGGCATGTTCCATTTTTTATTTTTGGCATGATCCTTTCATTTATAGTTATTTAAAAAATCAATATATTCAAAAGTGCATTCATGCATATTAATGAAATTATGATTGCTTTTAGGTATATGAGCCTTTTTTTAAATTGTGTTCAATTTCATTTATAAAAATTAAATTTTTCGACTCTCCTAGTACGAAATCGTAAATGATGAGAAAAAACGTGAACTCTGCGTGTCAATCGTAATTGTTTTCGGTTTCTTTATTCTGTACACTTGCGAAAGCAAGTGTCTTGTAATCGGGAACTATATTTTTGTTATATCAAAACCATCTTTTCAAAAAAATTTGTTCCCACTTGGCTCAGAGGTAACACCGTCGTCTTTGCAATTTAAGGCCTGGGGTTTTAGTCCCGGACGAATCTTGTGTTTTTCCACATGGATACAATTGGCTTTTTTTTCCGTAAAAAATGAATAGTCGGACTTTCGTTTTTCTGCTCAAGTTTTGTCGGCTCAGTTTCACGGATTTAGCTTGTGCTTGAAACAACGTTTTTGTTGTTGCAAGTGCAAGTATTGTTCAAGGTAGTTTCAAATGGACTGAAAAGTTTTTTTTAAGTTCTTTTTTCGGCTCAACTTGTGCCTGCTCAAAGTTTCTTGGCTTTGTTTCTTCTTCGTAAGTTTTATTCTGTTATTAATTTAATATTGAAATGTCAGAAATTTTTGCCTATAATGAATTTCTACCGATTTTATGGAAAATGTAAATTTTTTTAGACCAACTTTTAACATTTTTCATTTTTGTTTGACGTGTGTTTTTTTATGTTTGTGTTTTATGTTTTAATGTTATCGCTTGCGATTAGCAAGCGTTATCAAATCGGAATGTAGACTTTTTTTCGGTTTTACAACAAGTTTAGCAAAATCAGTTGAATCACTTGTGATGCGGACATGCTCAATTTCATGAAAATTCTTATATCAGAATTGGGTGGGTACTAGTTACTACAGGGAAGTTTCAGAGGGACTTCAAAATTTTTTTTACCAAATCGGTTTTTTTTCGGCTCAACTGCTGTCTGCTCAAAGGTTGTCGGCCTTGTTTCCGCTTCGTAAGCCTTGTTCGGTTATTAATTTGAATTTCAAATGTCTTGCTTAGCATAATTTCCTAGAATTCCTGTTTGATAAAAACAAGTTTATGAATTTCTGTCGTGTTGGGTTTTTATTTAATTTAGTTTCTATTTGAGACGCTGTGCAATCAAATTGCGCTACCAATTTCCTTTAAAAGGTATTAATGGGAAGACTGCCTGCACCCCCCCCCCCGTGTGCCTGCTTAATCCCCTAGTATATTTTGCGACGCTTTGGAAAATTTTATTGTTTTACTAAATTTTAGTTTTTTCTCAAAAACACCTCTACCGATTTTCAAAAAAGGGGTATCCACAGAAAGAATGCCTACATTCTTTTGTGCCTGCAAACTCCCCTGGTCTTTTTTGCTTTTACCCTTGTCTGTAGCCTTCGAAAAAGTCTCTGGGGTGAATATTTGACAAATATTTTAGATTTTTTTTTTCGTTTTCTAAAAAACTAACCTACCAAATCTGAGATTTTAGTGTTGAATTTGAAAAACTCCTCTTGATAATGCGGTTACGCCCAATTTTTTTTAATACATAAAACTATGGCCCTCGGGGAAGTCTAATTTTTGATTTTTTTTTTCAACCGTTTGAATTTTTCTTCAACTTTTTTCAAAAATCAACCTCTCAGACTTGAGTTTTTTTCAATGGGGATAATGGATAGTGGGAAGGAACATTGCAATAACGGACACTCGCAATTTTTTTTAAGCGGCCACTCGCGTTTTTTTTAAATTTATGCGAAAAATTTGTGGCCCTCGGAAAACAGGCCACAAACGGAAAATTTGTGGCCCTCGGAGAATTTTGATTTTTTTGACTTTTCTCGAGAACTACCCTGCCAAACTTGAGTTTTTGGGTTCAATCAAAATTGCAGGTTGAGTGAATTTTTTCTGCATCAGCGGCGATGCCTAATTTTTTCCAAACAAAAAACTATGATTCTCCGAAATGTCAACATTCTGATTTGTTGACCGTTTCTTGGACTCTTCTCAAAAACTATCCTGACAAATCTGATATCATAGGTTTAATCAACACCACAGTATGTTGGAAGCTTGGTTTTATAGTTTGCTACGCCCAAGAAAAAAGTTATGGCCTTCAAACAAGTTTTTTGGAAGTTTTTTTTACTCTCCTCGAAAATTACCGTGCCAAATCTCAGGTTAAGTGTTCAATTGAGAAAACGGATTTTTTGGATCTTCTCTACTTTACCGGCCATCCATTTTTTGAAAAAATCCGTTTTTTGAAAAGTCCAATTTTTAAAATTTTGAGTTTGGTACCGCATCAGTATAACAAATTCAACACATATCAAACACGTACCTCCAGCTTTAGGTGGCCCCTAAGTGTCTTTCATCTATACATACGAAAATTTTGGTTCACCTAATTTTTACTGCTTTTTTTACTTATGATTGTGTTGTGTCGAAGTGGTGCGAAGCTCGGCTTCGCCTCTGTGTTTGTTTTTATTCACAAGTCAGTATTTTTTCGGTTTCCTTGCCTACATGACTCTCCAACTGCATGTTGGCTGGAAGCCTCTGTAAGCAATATGTTGGCTGGAGGTTTGCTGGAAGCCTGTGTTAGCAATAATTTTTCTGCACTCGACCTATTTTGTGCATGTTAGCTTTCCAAATATCTACGATTCGAAGTTTGATTTTAATGTTGTTGTGTTTTCACCAAGTCGATTTGTTAAAATATCATTTTTCTTTTTTTTGGCCTAAACGGTTTCGGCCGAAATCATATGGATTTAGAGGCCTCGTGTTGCGTCGTTCGACGAGCGAAAAAAAACTTGTGTTCATGTGTGTGTTTGTTTTGATGGGGAGGGGGAATTAATAATTATTGTATTAGAGTCAAATTTGAATATTTTTTCGGTTTTTGTGGATTTCGACCTATTTAATATCTGTTGAGTGGCCCCATGTTGATGCGAAAAAGTTTAAGTGTGTGTATGTTTGTGTGTTTTCAGGATGAGGAGAACTTAATAGTTTTTTTAAGTCTTTTAAATTTTTTCGGCTTAAACGGTTTCTGCTACGGTATTTTCGGCTTTTTTATCGCTTGGTAAATTCTTTGATGCCAATTTTACTTTGTATTGTCTTGGCTCGTTTTGTTTCAACAAGCTTTATTAATTTTGGATAGACTTATTTTTTCAACGTTTTTGATTCTATTTTCGACCTAGAGGCTGTTTTGTGTCGCAAGTGGTCTAAAGCTCTGCTATGCCTCTTTGTATTCTTTTCCAATCTTCTGTTGGCTATGGTTTCTTTGTGTAGTAAGTGATTAGAAGCTCTGTTGCAATTTGATCAGCTGAAACAGCTTTTTTTGTTCCGACCACTGAATGTGGGAAGGAATTTGTCTTTGTATGTGTTTTTCATATGTATGCACCCAAAATCAGGTACCACAATTCATCATCAGAGTACTTGGGTCGTGATTTGAACGACAAATTTTTTTTCAGTGGTGGGAAAATGTTGACGGTACATGTCAGATCTTGCAATGTGGAATTGTCTTGGTGAGGCCCGAACTTTTCGGTTAATGCTCAGGTTATTGAGTGGCGGCTTATATACCTTATATTTTATTCGTATCATTAGTGATCATTGGTTGTGACAAAATGCTTTGAATGCTCGAAATCAAAAGCTCCGACACTTTTTGAGTTTTAAGCTTGTATTTTTTTTACCCCTTAACATATTTGTTGCGTTTTTAGTATCAATTTTTAGCAGCGGAAACTTAATTCAGGTTTTTGTCTTAATGCTCCAAAAGTTTGTTAATCAGAAAAAAATGAAATTGGTGTCAGTTTTTTTGGCTGCATGGGTTCTGTTTGGTTTTTTTTCTGTTTGTTTTGATTTTTTTCCTAATTTGTTTAGTCTCTAGCAAGTTAGTGTCATAATTTGGGTATTCGAGATGTTTTATTGGTTCATATTTGAAATATCGCTAAAATTGTTTTGCAGTTTTGACCTGACAACTTTTTTGTGTCGAGGCATTTGGCGAGTTTAAATTTTGTGTCTTTGCACTAAACAAGCGCTATCAAATCGGAGCATAGGCTTGAACCACGGAATCTTTTGGTATCTTTTTCTACAAAAAGTTCAAATTAAATGACTATTTTACCCCTCAACCAAGATAACTTCATGCAAGGTAACTTGGACTCGAACAACAGGCCTTTGTATTCGCATGCAAGGATAACTCCGATCCGTTGGAAGACCAAGGGCTGCTGCCCGAGTCCGAGTGAAATTTGTAATGTTTTGGGTACTGCTGTGAGTTTCTGTTCTGAAAATTTTTAATTGCTATCCTGTATCTGTTTATTTTTGTCTGCTTAATTTCCAGAGCACGCAGTTCTCTTCAAATTGATTTTTACTATTTAAGAATTCCATAATATTCATTTGCAATGGCGCAGATTTATGCATTCCGAGATTATGGGGTTTTAGGGCTTCAAGTTCCAAGCTTAGGGCTTCAATATGATTCATCGCTCAATGTGTTGTGGCTCATGCAATTGCATATAGTTATTCAATTGATAGAGAATCATCGTCTGTTAAATATTGACTTGATTCAGTTGCCCGATTCACGTGTTTTTGAGACTATCAATGTTTACACTTGATAGCAGTGTATTGCAACCGGGACTGGATAGAATTGTTCCCGTAATTAACTTAATCCAAAGATTTCAGAACTCGATGTCAAAATTTTCAACGTTTTTAATTCAATTTTTATGTATCGCTAGTGATGCGAAGCTCAGCTTCTCTCCGCCTGTGTGTTCAATCGAATTCGAAAATGTTTTGGCTCTGTTTTTTGTATAAGAAGGAAATCAGTGGTTGATTATTCTTCCTGTTTAAGGACAGCAGTGAAGATTCATTGGGAATTTGTCCTGTGTGCTCGTTTTCCTTCTGTACTAAATGTGACGATATTTGGCACCCCGGAGAGCTGTGCAAGGAGCTTAGAACGGAAGAAAATAGGAGAATGCTCAAACTACAGCGTCAACAAGCAGAGGGTTCGTTCATGCAGTTACATAAAAATGACTTTACAGACAAAACCATGAACATAAATGAAAACATAATGAGAGCAAAACCATCTTTACCTTTGTTATAAGCAAGGGTATTGCAATCGGGTACTAGACTTTTTTTCCGTAAATAACTTTGTTCACAGGACTCATCGACTCCTGGTGGTACCTATATCAAATTCAAATTATGTACTGTCCTCTGCCCACTTAGCCTGGAGGTAACGAATACGCCTGGCTAGGAAGAGGTCATGGGTTGAAATCTGAACAGAACCTGTTTTTTTTCAAACGGTCAAAATTCCTGTTCAGAAAAATTTCGGCCTAATATTTGTCTGCTTACGTTTTATCGGCTTAGATGCCAGATCTATGAATCGTTTGTTTTTGGTTCAAACAAATTTCACTGTAGTTTCTTTAAGTGTCTTAGCACTTTAGACATCCGGCCGAACCGTGTTTTGCTTTTTATATTGGTTTTAATTTTACCAACTCGATTTTTTAAAATTTAGTTTTTTCTTTCGTTTTTTTATGTCTTCTTTTTTTTTACTTAATCGGTTTCAGCTTATTGTTATAATCTTCTTGTTGGTCCTTATTGCATCTTTTGGTGAATGAGAAAAAAGTTTGGTGTGCGTTTGGGTTCTAAGGGGAAAGGGGACTCAAATTTTGTTTTATTAAGAAACTTTTTTGGAAGTTTTTCTTCGTGAAGGGCTTCTGAGGTTTTTTTTGTTTTGTTTCCGCTTGTTAAGTTTTGTTCGAAGCAATTTTGCATTCTATTGTCTTGGCATGTTCCATTTTTTATTTTTGGCATGATCCTTTCATTTATAGTTATTTAAAAAATCAATATATTCAAAAGTGCATTCATGCATATTAATGAAATTATGATTGCTTTTAGGTATATGAGCCTTTTTTTAAATTGTGTTCAATTTCATTTATAAAAATTAAATTTTTCGACTCTCCTAGTACGAAATCGTAAATGATGAGAAAAAACGTGAACTCTGCGTGTCAATCGTAATTGTTTTCGGTTTCTTTATTCTGTACACTTGCGAAAGCAAGTGTCTTGTAATCGGGAACTATATTTTTGTTATATCAAAACCATCTTTTCAAAAAAATTTGTTCCCACTTGGCTCAGAGGTAACACCGTCGTCTTTGCAATTTAAGGCCTGGGGTTTTAGTCCCGGACGAATCTTGTGTTTTTCCACATGGATACAATTGGCTTTTTTTTCCGTAAAAAATGAATAGTCGGACTTTCGTTTTTCTGCTCAAGTTTTGTCGGCTCAGTTTCACGGATTTAGCTTGTGCTTGAAACAACGTTTTTGTTGTTGCAAGTGCAAGTATTGTTCAAGGTAGTTTCAAGGGGACTGAAAAGTTTGTCGGCTTTGTTTCCTCTTCGTAAGTTTTATTCTGTTAATAATTTAATATTGAAATGTCAGAAATCTTTGCTTATAATGAACTTCTACCTATTTTTACGGAAAGTTAAATTTTTTTAGACCTAACTTTTAACATTTTTCATTTTTGTTTGACGTGTGTTTTTTATGTTTGTGTTTTATGTTTTAATGTTATCGCTTGCGATTAGCAAGCGTTATCAAATCGGAATGTGACATTTTTTTCGGTTTTACAACAAGTTTAGCAAAATCAGTTGAATCACTTGTGATGCGGACATGCTCAATTTCATGAAAATTCTTATATCAGAATTGGGTGGGTACTAGTTACTATAGGGAAGTTTCAGGGGGACTTCAAGTTTTTTTTTACCAAATCGTTTTTTTCGGCTCAACTGCTGTCTGCTCAAAGGTTGTCGGCCTTGTTTCCGCTTCGTAAGCCTTGTTCAGTTATTAATTTGAATTTCAAATGTCTTGCTTAGCATGTTTTCCTAGAATTCCTGTTTGATAAAAACAAGTATTAAGAATTTCTGTCGTGTTGGGTTTTTATTTAATTTAGTTTCTACTTGAGACGCTGTGTCAATCAAATTGCGCTACCGATTTCCATTAAAAGGTAATAATGAGAAGACCGCCTGCCCCCCTGTGTGCCTGCTTAATCCCCTAGTATATTTTGCGACGCTTTGGAAAATTTTATCGTTCTACTAAATTTTAGTTTTTTCTCAAAAACACCTCTACCGATTTTCAAAAAAGGGGTATCCACAGAAAGAATGCCTACATTCTTTTGTGCCTGCAAACTCCCCTGGTCTTTTTTGCTTTTCCCCCTTGTCTGTAGCCTTCGAAAAAGTCTCTGGGGTGAATATTTGACAAATATTTTTGATTTTTTTTTTCGTTTTCTAAAAAACTAACCTACCAAATCTGAGATTTTAGTGTTGAGTTTGATAAACTCCTCTTCATAATGCGGCTACGCCCAATTTTTTTCAATACATAAAACTATGGTCCTCGAGGTTGTCTAATTTTTGATTTTTTTCAACCGCTTGAATTTTTCTTCAACTTTTTTCAAAAATCAACCTCCCAGACTTGAGTTTTTTTTCAATGGGGATAATGGATAGTGGGAAGGAACATTGCAATAACGGACACTCGCATTTTTTTTAGCGGCCACTCGCGTTTTTTTTTAAATTTTATGCGAAAAATTTGTGGCCCTCGGAAAACTCAGAATTTTGATTTTTTGACTTTTCTCGAGAACTACCCTGCCAAACTTGAGTTTTTGGGCTCAATCAAAATTGTAGGTTGAGTGAATTTTTTCTGCATCGGCGGCGATTCCTAATTTTTTCCAAACAAAAAACTATGATTCTCCGAAATGTCAACATTCTGATTTGTTGACCGTTTCTTGGACTCTTCTCAAAAACTATCCTGACAAATCTGATATCATAGGTTTAATCGACACCACAGTTTGTTGGAAGCTTGGTTTTATAGTTTGCTACGCCCAAGAAAAAAGTTATGGCCTTCAGACAAGTTTTTTGGAAGTTTTTTACTCTCCTCGAAAATTACCGTGCCAAATCTCAGGTTAAGAGTTCAATTGAGAAAACGGATTTTTTGGATCTTCTCTACTTTACCGGCCATCCGTTTTTTGAAAAAATCCGTTTTTTGAAAAGTCCAATTTTTAAAATTATGAGTTTGGTACTGCATCAGTATAACAAATTCAACACATATCAAACACGTACCTCCAGCTTTAGGTGGCCCCTAAGTGTCTTTCATCTACACATACGAAAATTTTGGTTCACCTAATTTTTACTGCTTTTTTACTTATGCTTTTTATGATTGTGTTGTGTCGAAGTGGTGCGAAGCTCGGCTTCGCCTCTGTGTTTGTTTTTATTCACAAGCCAGTACTTTTTTCGGTTTCCTTGCCTACATGACTCTCCAACTGCATGTTGGCTGGAAGCCTCTGTTAGCAATATGTTGGCTGGAGGTTTGCTGGAAGCCTGTGTTAGCAATAATTTTTCTGCACCCGACATATTTTGTGCATGTTAGCTTTTCAAATATCTACGATTCGAAGTTTGATTTTAATGTTGTGTTTTCACCAAGTCGATTTGTCAAAATATCATTTTTCTTTTTTTTTGGCCTAAACGGTTTCGGCCGAAATCATATGGATTTAGAGGCCTCGTGTTGCGTCGTTCGACGAGCGAAAAAAAACTTGTGTTCATGTGTGTGTTTGTTTTGATGGGGAGGGGGACTTAATAATTATTGTATTAGAGTCATATTTGAATATTTTTTCGGTTTTTGTGGATTTCGACCTATTTAATGTCTGTTGAGTGGCCCCATGTTGATGCGAAAAAGTTTAAGTGTGTGTATGTTTGTGTGTTTTGAGGGTGAGGAGAACTTAATATTTTTTTTAAGTCTTTTAAATTTTTTCGGCTTGAACGGTTTCTGCTACGGTATTTTCGGCTTTTTTATCGCTTGGTAAATTCTTTGATGCCAATTTTACTTTGTATTGTCTTGGCTCGTTTTGTTTCAAAACTAGCTTTATTAATTTTGGATAGACTTATTTTTTCAACGTTTTTGATTCTATTTTTGACCTAGAGGCTTTTTTTGTGTCGCAAGTGGTACAAAGCTCTGATATGCCTCTTTGTATTCTTTTCCAATCTTCTGTTGGCTATGGTTTCCTTGTGTAGTAAGTGATTAGAAGCTCTGTTGCAATTTCATCAGCTGAAACAGCTTTTTTTGTTCCGACCACTGAATGTGGGAAGGAATTTGTCTTCGTATGTGTTTTTCATATGTATGCACCCAAAATCAGGTACCACAATTAATCATCAGAATATATGGGTCGTGATTTGAACGACATAAATTTTTTCAGTTTTGGGAAAATTGGTTCAAAAATTTTGCTTTTTAGTCTTATTTCGAGCTAGTTTAGTCAAGAAAAACAAATTTTCGAAGCTTCTTATAGATCTTCCTTGGTACAAAAAAATTTTAAATATATTTTTTAATTTAGACAATTCTTTCGATGTTTTTTTTCCATTTTTTTTGCCATTTTTGACAACAAATTTAGTCGGTAATATTTTACTTACTAACATTGAGTTTTTGGTTTTTCTTGTCATACAACACAAAAAACGGCCTAAATTTGAGACTATATATATATATTGAAGGTTTTTTTGTTTTTTTAAAGAAGCCAGATCTTTGTGCTTCTTCCACATCAACCGGCTCTTCTTGTTTGATTTGATTATTGCCCGATTGTGTATGCAAAGCTGTTTCAATCTGTAATGATTACATAGTTAATAGTTCATGTTTTCGAAGCGAGTGTTGTTTGTCTTCTTGCTTAAGGGCCAAAGCAGCAGGATTTGCGGGCAGCCAGGGAGGAAATGTACAGACGATTTCAAGAACGACAAGTAGGTGTGGAGCACAATGGGAGAAAGCCAATCAAGACATGTCCTGGCTGCAGGATAAAAATTGAAAAATCTGCAGGCTGCAATAAAATGACCTGCAGATGTGGAACAATTTTCTGCTGGCTATGTGGTGTCAAAATATCTGGCTACGATCATTTTGGAAGAGGATGCCAAACATTTAGTTTCACTCAACCTGCGAGTGGTCCACGGAAGGAAGTTCAATTTCACGAAGGCTACATCGCTTACAGAATCAGCTAGTGAGACAGAAACAATGTCCACGGTGTAGAAATAAGAATCCAAAAATGGGTAGACTCAACTTGGTCAAGTGTTGGTTCTGCAAGGGTCATTTCTGCTTCCAGTGTGGGGATAATCTGTCAAAAGTGGACAAAGCCACTAGTCATTATTCACTGAGCAAAACTTGTAGCCAACACTCAGATTGAATGGAAATATATTTCAAATCATTCTCGATTGGTTATTCGAAACTCATTTAAATTCGAAACTCATGAAAATTGCATATACAGATTGATTATTTGCTAATAACTATCAAAGTTCTATCACTTTAAATCATATCTTTCGAAAATAATCGGATCTTTTTGCGGCAGAGAAAGATAAGAAAATATATTCTTCGTGCATATTATTCGTCCATTTTTCTATTAAGAGTCGATGAACGTTGTTCAGACTCTTAAATAGGTCGCGTTGATTTTGTTTTTCATTTTTTTTTCAGGAAAAGTCTTAAATTTGTTCAGATTCAAATTTAACTTTTAGCGGCGTCACTTATGATTTCTCTTTAAGTTCAATTCATTTCCTTTGTTAAAAGGAAGGCTAACTCCACTATCGAACAGCAAAAGTGTAATGGTCACAAAAAACGTTATCGACTTCTAGTTTCGAAATTGGAATTTAATTTCGAGATTTCCCAGCGAAATAAATAAAAGTACCTATTGATCCAATTTTCTCAAATGGGTTAATTTAATCATACAAGTATCGACCTCTACTTGTTCTGGAAAGTCAAAGAGCTTCAAGGGCGTCTATTTTTTGTAACTTCGAAAGTTGAGGTTGTTTCAAAAAAAATAGCCAGTATTTTTCTGTTTACTTGCGTTCATTGACTCTTTTCCAGTTGATTATGTTTATCTAAAGCCCTTACTCTTCAGGAAAACATCCATTTAATGAAGAAGCTGTGGTAGATCTATTCGTTGAAATGCAACAAAGACCTGGCTAATCTAAAGTTCGATATCCTACGCAATTTGATCGTAATTGGCCTCTGAAGCGATGAAAAGCTTCAAAATATTTAATCGTCTAGAATGTTCTTAGTTCCTTTTAAGATAAATCAATTAGTCTATTTAAAAATTTTGTCCTTCGGAAGTTGGTAGTGTTTTGAAACATTCAAAATTGCGATACGATATAGAAGCGGAGCGTAGTGTGATAATACGATGCAACTTTTCAAACCTTAGTCAAAAATGGAAGTTCTACTTTAGGCGGCTTTTTTGAAAGTGTTGTTTTTGTGCTACTTAAAGTGCTATTTTTGGCGTCACTTATGAATAATGAGGCTGCGTTGGCACTATAATACTAAGTGCTTTGACATTTAATTTGTAATGAGTTAACACATTTGATACATGTTAAGAGTAATACAGGTCTTGATATTTTTTTTCTACTTTTTTTTTGAGGAAAAAGTCGTAAAATGCTCTAGTAAATACAGATGTGCATTCATACATATTAATGAAATTATGAATGCATTTAGGTAAATATGCACTTTTTGAATTCAATTGAAATTCACCTGAAAGCTACGTAAATAGCCCTCCCCAAATACCAACGTTGAAATGGCGTAAAAAAAACGTGAACGACTTCTAGGTTCAAAGGTGGAAATTACTTTATAAATTTCCCAGCGTAATAAAACTTAACCTATTGATCCAGTTTTCTTTAATTAAGTTATAAATCAAAAAAACACCAAACATAAAATCTTCTTGAAATTCAAAGATCTTTTAGGGTCGTACAGTTTTTCTTGGCTGTTTTGATTCATCAGTTGAAGTATAAAACGCTATTTTTTCGATCAACAGTACAAACATAAAACTCCATTTTAAGAAAGTTTCAATTCTATCTATCTATCTATGTATGCATTAAAAGATACGCGTTTCATTTGGCACATGTTAAGAATTCTCTTAGTTGACATGGTTTATAATTTTCCAAAATATTGCAACTTTTGATATAATGTTTCATTGAATTCAACGTTTTATATTTCCAAGGTCGTCGACGATTCTAACCATATATCTGCTGAAGCATGAATGGTTTAAAAGTACAGATTTTTTTTCTTCTTTCGCAATGTAAATAATTCCAAAGAAGCTTCTCGTTACGGTGTTCATATGAATAAATTGAGTTTCTAAAACGTAAGGTGAGATCTTGTCAGTGTACACTCCTGATTTTTTTGCTCAAATTCTTTCGCTCTCCGAGATGACCTTATAAACAACGCCATATTGAAAACTTTCAGTAAAACTTAAATTTCTCAACCCTATTCCTTAAGGTGCTTGTCAGCGTACACTCATATCTAAATCTGGCCTCCTATTATAGCAGCTCAAATAATTTTGGTTTTCGAGAAAAAGCGTTAATCATGGTTTTAGTTTAAAAAAATTTTCGAAAAACTTGGTTTTAAATACTAACTTAACTTAAAAAACTCAACCCTATGATGGGGCGCTATTAGGGTAACTCAGGAAATATAAATCTGGCCTCACAACTGAGCAACTCAAATTCTGCCCTTCAAACTTAACTGCTCAAATCATTTTGGTTTTCAAGAGTAAAAGTTAATGAGTTTTGAAATTTTCTCCAAAAAATTTAGATTTATTGATTACTTACAGAATTTGAAAATCTCAACTCTATAATAGGGAGCTCACAAAATCCACTATAAGGTTGGAATTACGCCCTTTAAATTTATTTTCTCAAATCATTTTAGTTTTTGAGCAATGGCGTTGTTTATGATTTTTACATATTTTGTTCCAAAAATTTAGACTTATTTATTACTAACAGAACTTGAAAAATTCAAGCTCATAGCTCATGGAGCTCTCAAGGTACTCTATAGGGTTGCATTTTTGTCTTCCAAATTCACTTACTCAAGCCTTTTAGTTTTGAAAAATGCTGGTGCTTATGACTAGTATAAATTTTGTTTTCAAAAAACTTGGATTTGAATACTAACCGAACAGAAAAATCTGAACCCTGTGGTGGGGTGCTATCAAGTTGCACTCAGGAGTTGTAATTGTGCTTCCAGATCTAACTGCTCAAACAATTGGGTTTTCGGGATATGTTTTTTTGTGTTTATTTACATTGCTGTCCTTCATTTTGCGCTCCGAACTCAACTGCTCAAATTGTTTCAGTTTTCGAGAATTGGCGTTTTTTATTATTTTTGAACTTATATATATTTTTTAAAATCTAGATGTTATTACTAACAAAAGTGGAAAATCTCAACTCTGTGGTGGGGTGCTATCACGGTACACCCAGGAGTTGCAAATCTGCCTTCAAGATGTAACTGCTCAAATCCTTTTGGTTTTTGAGATATGGCGTTTTTTTTTGTTTTTTTTTTTCAATTCAAAAAATTAGATAAAAACACAAAACAAACTTTGAAGTTGTCACCGATTTGGTTGGATGTTATGAGAAAAATAACTGCTCAAATTAATTTGGTTTTCGATTAATGTTTTTTTTTAAAAACAAATTCCGAAACGTTAGATTTTGTAATTACTAACAGAACTTGAAAAACTAATTGCGAAGCTCTAGGGTGCACTCTAGAGTGCCAATTCTTCCCTCCAAATTTAATTGCTCGAATCATTTTAATTTTTCGGAACACATTTAAGAACTCCCTGTGTTAACATGCTTCAAAGATTTGCAAAATATTGCATCGTTTGATATGTTTCATTAAATTCAACGTGTTAATTTTCCAAGGTCGTCTACGTTTCTAACCATATCTAACTATTCATACTATATTTAATGCGTGTGACGCGTATCTTGCCATGTTTTCGCGTTTTTTTGCAAAAAAAAAACTGCATAACGTATCAATGCGTGGTTAAGCTATATCGTATATTGCAATCCTTAAGAATTTTTGTTTTCGTTTTTCCAGTCTGAATATAGTGTTTGTTCCACCGAGTTAAAAGTTAGCAACACGATAGTGGGCTGCTGTCAGAGTTGCCCCAGGGTTGCGAGTATGGTCTCCAATTATGAATGCCCAAATCTTTTTAGTGTACGAGAAACGACGATTTTTGTGATTTTTCAAAACTTTCGAAAAACTCAATTTGAAAAAAAGGAAAATTCTCAGCCTTTTAGTTGAAGGCTGTAAAAATACTCGCAAGGATTCCAAATCTTGCCGCCTACTATGAGTGCTCGAATCTGTGTATTTTGCGAGATATGACGTTTTTGTGATTTAAAAAAAACACAAAATTTCATTTTTTTTTGAAATCGAAATTCCTAACTCTGTAAATGGGTGCTGTCAGTGTAGTCTCAGGGGTTGCAATTCTTGCCTCCAAATATGGCTGCTCAAATCCATGTAATTTTCGAGATATGACATCTTGTGTGATTTTAAAAAATTCAGAAAACTAAAATATTATTACTTTTAAACACTTGAAATTTCTAAGTCTAGCTGGGTGCTGCCAGTGTATTCTCAAGGACTGCTAATCTTGCCTCCAAATATGACTGCTCAAATCCATGTAGTTTTCGAGATATGACGTCTTGTGTGATTCAAAAAAAATCAGAAAACTAAATTATTATTACTTTTAAACACGAAATTCCTAAGTCTAACTGGGTGCTGCCAGTGTATCCTCAGGGATTGCCAATCTTGCCTCCAAATATGACTGTTCAACTCCATGTATCTTCGAGATATGTCGTTTGAGATTATTTTTTCAAAAAAAATCAAAGCTTAATTTATTATTTTTTCAAAACCATTTTTTTTCTCAAAAATTGAAATTCCTTATCTTGTAGTTGGGTGCTGCCATGGTACTCTCAGGGATTGCCAATCTTGCCTCCAAATATGACTGCTCAACTCCATGTATCTTCGAGATATATCGTTTGTGATTATTTTTTCAAAAAAAATCATAAAGCTTAATTTATTAATTTTTCAAAACCATTTTTTTTCTCAAAAATTGATATTCCTTACCTTGTAGTTGGGTGCTGCCAGGGTACTCCCAAGGGTAGCAATTCTTGCCTCCAAATATGACTGCTCAACTACATGCAGTTTACGAGATAAGACATTTTGTGTGAGTTAAAAAAAATTCGGAAAACTAAATTATTAT